TCTGAATGGAGGGCCATCAAAGAGTTTGTAATTTTGTGTTAAAACTATCACAGGAGCTAAATGGCTAAGGAAAAATAATAAAGATCTTCCCAGCCATGCATCTGCCATGACCTTTGCACATCCTTGATGGAACATCTAAAGAATGCTGACTTCTCCGTGGGTTTGGCTCACTCATGAAAACTTAGAGTCATCCAATTATCTCAAGGCCATCACTCCCCTCCATTCCAGGATCTGGCCAGTCCTTGGGAGGATAAAGTATCCTTGAGGGATCACCAGGTCACACAGATTGTTAGGACAGAGATTTCTTTATTCTAACTTGAATTTAAGGAGCCCCACTGGGAGTACAATTTTGGAGTCTTTGGAGTATCCATAAGAATAGAGTCCTAATTAAGATATAAGATATATGCCATTCTTATATAAATATATCAAAATGGATTCTACTGTTACGTATAACTAAAAAGAACCAATAAAAAGAAACTGTCCTTCACCATAAATCTTCCCTTAACCCTAGGCAGAATTCCCGAGGAATTAGAAAAATACGGTTGCAAGGAGACCACCCTACTTTACTGCACCCCCACCACCTGCAACACACTCTGAGATACATAGGTATTTGGGAAGGAGGAGCTTGCTGTTGTTCCCATGTAATCTGCAATGTTAGACTCTTATTTCCTTCTCCACTAACAACTATCAGTGCCCCAGATCTCCTCCCTGTGAGAAATATCCAGATGAGTCGAGATAATTGATGGGCAGGGTGAAATAAATGGAGAAGGGGAGAAACAGGAGCCCCAGAAATCCAAATAGAATAGTCTGATAGATCCAACTGAGGAGACTAAAAACTAACATTTTGGGGGGTAGGGATGTAGCTCAGTGGTTGGGCACTTAGTATGTCTAAAGCCCTGGTGTTCATTCCCAGCACCAAAATCAATAAAAAACATAAGAACATGTTTTGATATCATTTCTAATGAGATCTGTTTCACTAACAGAGTGGTCTGGATATATTACTGGAATGGACCACTGTTGTGCCCCTGCTTTCCACCTGTGAGCCCTGAAATCTAGGCCCAATTTAGCTTCAAGAATGAACCTTTCAAAATCATGTCACTCCTCTGCTTACAAGGCTGCATGGTCCCATCTAATTTGGGACGTCAAGTCCTTATACAAAGACTTGGAGAAATCCTTAATCTACAAAACCCAGCCAAACTTCTTATGTCTCTGTTCTCATTTCCCAACCACTCTTCCCCTTGTTCACCTGCTCCTGCCCTACTGTCTTCCTTACTGATCCTTAGCCTGGGGACCTTTGTACCTTCTTCAAATAATTACTCAAATGCTACCTTCTCAATTATGTCTCTCCTGGCAAACTGCTTGAGATTGTAAACTAACACCAAAACCACTTATGCATTCTGTGCCTGGCTCTATTTTTTTCCCATAGCACCTATTACTTTTAATTGCAATACATTATGTAATTTACCTAGTCACAATGTTCAGTGCTTATTTTCTGTCTTACCCAAGTAGAATATAGAGTCCCCAACTTACAATGGTGTGAAAGTGAAAGACATTCATTTTGAATTTTGGAATTTTGACTTTTTCCTGGGCTAGCAATATTTGTTACGATAATTAATTATTTATTGTGGAACTGGGAGATGAACTGAGGTGTGATTTATGACTTAGTTACATGCCAAGTCCTTTTTATTTTTTTATTTTGAGACAGAGTCTCATTAATTTTCTCTGGCTGGCCTTGAACTTGCAATCCTCCTACCTCAGGCTCCTGAGTCACTGGGATTAAAAGCATGTGTCAGCATACCTGGCTTATATTTATATATAAGTTTAATACTACTTCCAGTTTACCTTTAAGGGTGATGTCAAAATTAATGATCATTAATTATAAGATAGCATTTATAATTAACTGTGCTTCTTAAATATAATTATTTTTAAATTTTGTTTTAGTTGTTGATGGATTTTTATTTTTTATTTATTTATATGTGGTGCTGAGAATCAATCCCAGTGCCTCACACATGCTAGACAAGTGCTCTACCACTGAGCCACAATCCCAGCCCCTTAAATATAATGATTTTAAGCCCCACCTTTCAGAACAGTGATCTGAGTTCTCTTTTGCCTGAAGAGTCAACTGCCCTAGGAATAGTCTGGATGCACCAACACTCAAATTACCAAGGAAGCATTGGAAGGATGATTAGCAAAACAATGAACCTAGTCTAATTTTGGTTTCATTTATAAAGTTGAGACTGTAATCCTGATTCACCCTATTTTTCCCCAAGGATGTGGTGACATTAAGATGACTTGGTAAAATTGACCAAAGTTTTGTAGAAGTATGTATCACAGGATACTAAATAACAATTGCAAAACACGGGTTAAATTTCTCTAATATGATAATTTGTCTATGAAAAAATGAGACATCCCTGTTCAGTGAGCAATCTGCAAACAATCATTGAACCAGAAGGGGTTCTGAAATAGCAACTACTCTCATGCTTCTGACCCTGCTGGCACAGAGATGGAAGGACAGAAGTCTTTGGCCCCAGAGTAAAAGAAAAGGAAAATAAATGGGTCTGAGCAGTCTTTCCAGATAGAGTCTGCTTCTGGTAGAAAAGGACAAAAAATCATTATAATTATGGAAAAGTGACCCTTAAATCCAAGTTCAAGGAACATGCCTTCATTCTCTTTTCCTCTTCTTCCCACCAATATTCAGATCAATTCCCCTTAGGACCTCATGGAGTCTTGGGCCTAATACCCACATACACTTCCTGTTATACAGACGTGCACACACAAAGGAGGCATCTAGGCAATCAGAGGTGCAATCAGAGTGTATTCAGAAACAGTCCCACATAGACACTCAGGAGACAATAGGGAACAGATTAAGTGGACAGAAAGACACACAGTCTGAGTAAAAATGGATTGAGCAGAGGTATGTGGGGGTAGTGATGAGTAATAATATCTCTCTCTTCCACTCTCAAATTCAGAACCAATTGATAGACACAAAAAGGAGAGAAATAGAGAAAAAAATATCAGTGAAGAGCTGGGATATAGGTAAGTGGTACAGCACTTGCCTGGCATGCATGGCCCTGGATTCAATCCCAATACACTTTCTCTCATATACATATATTTTTTTTCAGAGTATTACTGTATTGGAAGATAGGGAATAGAAAGGTAGGCATAGCTAGGTGGGGTGGTGCATGCCTATAATCCCAATGGCTCAGGAGGTTGAGGCAGGAGGATCACAAGTTCAAAGCCAGCCTCAGCAACTTAGTGAGGCCCTAAGCAACTTAGCAAGGCCCTGTCTCTAAATAAAAATTTTAAAAGGGGGGCTAGGGATGTAGCTCAGTGGTTAAGTGCTCCTGGGTTCAATCCCCAGTGACAACAACCATGAAAAAAAAAA